CAGTTAATAATTGCAGGAAGGGGCCTCAGGGGGCCTGCTGAGCATCTCTTGGAAACCTCTCTTACCCCTTACCTGCCCCCCCCACCAGTTCCCCCAACACAAAAAAAAAATTCACGTGTTTTCCAAGTGACTTAAGCTAATCTATAGCCCAGACAAAATTAGCGGTAATAACATCTGGCTAAAGGATGACTCCCAAGTTAAAGGTATGCGAGTGTTAAAAGAAACAACAGGGACAGGAGAGTGCTCCACAGGAGAGCTCATGCTTGGCGTGCAGGAGACCTGGGTTCCATCCCTGGCACCACACTGCGGCCTGAGCACCGCAGGTGTGATCCCTGACCAGGGGGTAGCCCCCCACAAACAACAAACTAAAGCAAGTAACAGATCCTCACAGCTTCCCAAACTGGGGGGGTGTGGGGGGTAGGTGAAAGGGCTCAGCGGTGGTAAAACCTGGCTCCTACGCTCCATTGAGTATCGGATAAGCTTTGAGCAGATTATCATTGACTCCTACCAGCACTCAGTGTCCCTGTCAATAGTTCATCTATTTCAGCCATTATGTGTCTACACCCTAAGGAAGCGTTGCGCAGGGGTTCTTCCTGTCTCTGCACTGAGAAATTACTTCTGGCAGTTCTCAGGGGACCATATGGGATGCCAGGGATCGAACCTGGGTCAGCAGCATGCAAGGTAAATGCCCTCCCCCCTGAACTCTGGACCCTCCCCAAATTGGTAATTTTTTTTTTTTTTTGCTTTTTGTGTCACACCCAGCGATGCTCAGGGGTTACTCCTGGCTTATGCACTCAGGAATTACTCCTGGCAGTGCTGGGGGGGACCATATGGGATGCTGGGAACCCATATGGTCCTGAACCTGGGTCGGCCGCGTGCAAGGCAAACACCATACCTGCTCTGCTATTGCTCCATCCCCCCAAATTGGTAATTTTTCATTGGACTGTCCATAGCAATACCAAAGGTGGGTAAGTTCAGTCAGGTGTACTGAGAACATGTGTCAGAACAGAATAACACATAACTAGGAATCAAAGTGGTGAAATATTTATTGGAGGACAGAGTAAAGTCTTTCTTTAGTAGGGGGGTGGGGGTGGGGCACAAGTATAGGTCTTATCTTGAATTAGGAAAATAAAACCCACCAACAAAATTCTGTGAACACGTTTCCAGTGCCACAGAGAAATGAGAAACAAAAAGACTTTAGAGGCAGCAAGGGAGTCAAGACAGCGAACATGCTGTGAGCATGCGCCTTGGGCCTGGCCCAACTTCCATTCCTCTGTGCTCAGGGCTCACTCCTGGCGGGGCTCATGGAACAATATGTGAAGCCTGGATAGAACCAGGGTCAGTTGTGCGCAAGGCAAGCACCCTACCCACTGTACTGTCTCTCCAGCCCCAAAATCAAGTAAAATCTTTCTCCCTTCATTTTTACTTTTTGGGCCACACCCAGCAGTACTGTATGTTACTCCCAGCTGTGTGCTTGGGAGTTGCTCCTGGGATGCTGTTGGCAGGGCAGCAGGGATGAAGCCCAGCCTTCGGCATCACTCCATGCACTCAGCCTGTTATGCTCTCTCTCCTAATGGTTGCTCTGTAAGCTCTAAGGTCTGGAATGATCTCACAGCATTTGTGAAATGCTGTGAAACCAACTAGTATAAAATGTCAAAGAGGATGCAGGAACTATTGTCCCACTGCAGTGACCTGGACTTGGGTCACTCAGGGAAGCTGCTGAATGCCATACCCACTTACCCCCGACCTGCCCCTCTCCTGCCCATTTTTTGCTTCTGAAGGTTTTTTTTTTGCATTTTTTCATCCTTTGAAACAGTATGTGTGGAGACTCTGAGCTGGGTAAATCGCATGTCTATGGGCCAGAGAGATAATTCAATGGCTTGGTGCTGTTCTTGGCACCTCATGGTCCAAATATCTGCAGGCACCCCTTGGGCACTGAGCAGGGAGTAGCCCTCCTGAGCACTGCCAGGTGTGCCCTCAGATCAATGGAAAAATTAGTATGTTCGAAACCAACTCCCAGCTCTATTTCATTTTTTCTTTTTTTGCTTTTTGGGTCACACCTGGCAATGCACAGGGGTTACTCCCGGCTCTACACTCAGGAATTACTCCTGACGATGCTCAGGGGACAATATGGGATGCTGGGAATCGAACCCGGGTCGGCCGCGTGCAAGGCAAATGCCCTACCCAATGTGCTATCTCTCCAGCCCCTCCCAGCTCTATTTCTAGCATCGGTGCTATCTCCTTTTAGTGCCGGTCTTGCCCTGTCTCCCTGCAGTCATTCAGTTTGTGGCCAGGCTGGCCCCTCCATCTGGAAGAGCTCTTGTGTGCTCCCTACTCCCTGGCCTTTTCCCTTGGGCTTCACTCTCTCCCCTTGCCTCCCCTCCCCCCCCCCCCCACACCCCCTCGCTAGCCCAAGTAAGCCTGGAGCAGAGTGCACGCTCCTGCAGCACTCCGGACATTGCTTCCCTCAGCCCCATGCCTCTCCAAGCAGAGCTAAGCACCGCATCTGATGTCACAGCCCCAGGGAGAGAGGGCCTTCCTCTTGGAACCGCACCCAAACTGCACCTTCTAGACGCACATACAGGCATGAGGTTGTCTGAAGGCCCTGGTTTGGGGGTGGCTTATGTTGTCCCACAACGAAAGCAGAGAGAATTGTGAGGCCACCCAAGGCATGTGGTTCTCCACAGCAAACAACACGGGGGTGCCAAGAGCATCAGCAGAAGCTGGACGGGAGCCGAGGAGGAGGTGGATGGTGGCAGCTTGAGAGAACTGAGTGGTGGTGGTGGTGGTGGGGGAACGGGTGGGGGATGGCAGGAGGTGGTACAGTGGGTAAGGGCCATGCCTAGCATGCACCTGACCTGGTTCAAATCCCAGCACCACAAGGTCCCCCTAGCATCACAGGGTGCAGCCCTGGAGGTCCCAGCACCAGGAGGTGACCCAGATATCCCTGGCAATACAGGGCTTGAGCGGTGTCACACTCTTGGGCTGTGGCCTTGACTTTGCCGGCCTCGTTGGCCGAGAATCACCAGTGAGGGCCAAGGAGGAGGAGGAGGAGGAGGAGGAGGAAGAGAAGAAAAAGAAGAGCAACGTATGGGGTGAACTCAGTGACCTAGCTCAGATTCCTGGGCTGTTTCTAAAGTGTTTGGCTTCTGCCAGCTGCCAGGGATGTTCTGCCATGATACTTGCCTACACCATTCCTGCTGTCATAGATACTGTCTCCAGGCAGCAAATTAGACGCACCATGGTGTCTCCAAGCCCTGCAGAGTTGGCACTGTCCTATCACAAAACTGGTTCATTCTTTGTCTTGCTGGCTGCCCATCCCTCATCGGGAAGGTGACATGCAGCAGGCCAATGTCATCAGTGCTGTCTCTTAGACAACCAAGGCGGGACACCGGCAAAGAGGCACTGTCTCAAAACGCACTTCCCCACCCCCACTCCCAGTCAACACTGTAGCTTCTCCCCATCTCCCCCCAAATGTTGGCACTATCGGCAAAAGGGTATACAGAGTAACAACTCTGCTCGCTACCCAACCCACAACCTGTGTTCTGTATTTATCTCCTCCCTTCCTGTCCCAGTTTCCCAGTTTCCCTCTACTTGTCTATCACAATATATTTAGTGTTTGTAGCTGAACTAGCAGAAAGGAAACCGCACCTTAAGCATTCTCTTTATACTCTTAAGATCTTGCCCGCGGGCTTCCTCTTTTTGGACTCTCTTTGTCTTTGTGAAAATAAAGAACTACTCACTGACTCCTGGGGAGGGTGGGGGGAGAAAACACAGCAGTTGATCTATAAGCACCAGGCATGGGACAGGAATGATGGAAGTCTCCAGATGAGAAAGAAGCCTTTTTGACTTCCGAAGGCTAAAAATGGGTTCATCGTTTAGTGCAAATCTTTGTTAATGCATGTAGACCCAAGTATACGAGTTCATTGTTTAGTTGGACAAATCAGTTATGTCACACAGATGCAAGAAAATAATAATAATAAGGCATAATTAGTCTGTCTTCAGCTTCATCCCTGGGTAGGTAACTGATTGGAACAAATAAGTGAGAACAGAGCCTTCACTGGGCCCAACGACTTAAACATGTATCATCCAATCTAAGTTCTTCCTTCAGCAAACAGCGTTAAGTAACTTAGATAAATTCTTTATACTAGGAAAAGAAGACAAATAGGCCTATTTTTCTAGTAACAGTGGAATCTGCTTCTTTGGTTTCCACTATTATTTTTCTGACTCGATTTTGAGTTCGTAATCACATTCACCTCTGAATTAAAAAAAAGAGAGAGACTTTAGTGCAATGAAAGGGGAGTACTAACGGGCTGTTGACCTTATTCTTCCCACAGCATCCAGCCCGGTCACACAGAACGAAGAAAGCACATTCTAGGTATCTGGACGAGGTTGGAAGCAGTCTCACAGCCACGAACTCTCCTGGTACCCGGGGGAAGGGCAAGGAGGCGGCAGATCCTGCCCAAAGTGTGGCAAGGGAGATACCGAGGCACCCAGGTCTCACTGAACCTTAAAAGCGCCCGGGGTCTCTCTACTGTGAAGTCCCAGAGGTCTCAGAAACTCTCAAGTTCGCTAAAAAAAAGTTCAAGGATGCCTTGCGGTGAGAAGGGCATGCGCGGGGGTGCCAGTGGGGACCCGGGCTCAGCCAGTTCCCTCCGCTGGGGCAAAGCCAAACATTGCGCAAGCAGCCTGGGCAGCACGTGGCGCGCTAGGCGCCCGCGGGGGCCACCGGGCGCCTGGCGGCCGGACTTCAAGTCCCGGCCTGCTTTGCGGCAGGTTTGGGGGCGGGGACCCAGCCGGGCCCAGGCCGTCCGCGGGGTCCGGCGCGCGCAGAGCATCTCGGGAGGAGCGGGGGCGGAGCCTCCCGGGCTGTCAGCTGTAGCCCGGGGCTCCCGGGCGGGGGCGGCCGCTGCCATTGGCGGAGAGGCGGGAGGGGCGGGGCGCCCGGCGCCGCTGCGGGTTAAGGCCGAGCGGGTGGAGGGACGCGAGGCGGCTGGCCGAGCAGCTGCGTTCCAGCCTGGCCATGGCCGCGGCGCCCCTCAAAGTGTGCATCGTGGGCTCGGGAAACTGGTGAGCTGCTGCGGCTCGCGGCGTGCGCCTCGCCTCCAGGAAACCTGCCTCCCTCCCCGGGGCGGGCAAGGAGGGGCCGCGCGCTCTTGTCACGGCGTGGGCACCGGGCACCGGCGCGCAGGGCAGGCGCTCTGGGCAGCTTGGCGGGTGGGATCGGGCCGGGCACGGTGTACCCGGGAGGCCGCAAGCGAGGCAGTGGCCTGGGAGGCCCCGGGCCTGCGGGTCGGGGCGAGACAGCGCGGAAAGACGGTGCCACCCCTCCGCGGGCACCTGCCTGCACGCGGGCACCCCGCGCAGGGGGCACCTGCTCGCCGCGCCCGGCTCTTGGGCTCCAGACCCAAAAAAGTGCGGCAGATCCGGATTCCGGATCGCCGGTTCGAGACTTGCCAGGAGGAGGCTCGAACGTTGCGGCTGTAGTTTCCATATCGAGGAAATCGAGGGCCAAAGGACGTTTTGCGTCTCAAGTCGTGACAGGTCAAAGGAGCGGCTTTTATTCCACTCGGTGTCCTAGTAACGTTGTATCGCGGAGAAAAAAAAAAAAAACCCAAACCCGAGGTCCGATAAGGCCTGGTCCGCAGAGATCACAGGGGCGCTGGAAATTGGCTGGGAAGAAAGTGTTTGCAAATCTTTTTACCTTGCTGCCAGGCTTCGTTTGACTTCTGCATTTATCGGACACTTTGTGCCAGGCAGTCTTGTGCCCACTTGATAAATGTCCGCACTTTGCGTTCCTTTCGCACCGTGATGGGTTTGGGTGAACGTGGAAGGGTTGTAGGAGAGCGGGTCCAGTAGAGCACAGAACATTTTCAGGCCACACACACACACCTCTCCTACCCCCGTTGCTCTGCACTGTTTTGCCCACATTCAGAACTGGTGTTAGTAGTTAGGTGTTCTTTGGAGCTCCAGTTCTTGGGACAGGATGCGCTCCTGGCATCCCTGCACAAATGCCTGCAGCCAGTTAGACTTGACTTACTCTCTTAGACTTGACCTAGAAAGGACTTCCTGGAGGGAAACCTTATCTGCTTCTCTCCTTTCCCATTGCTGTGAGGCTGGTGGCCCTCCTCCACGCTTCTGTAACTTACTTCTGGAGCTGCAAGGTAATGATTTACTTTAAAATCTGTTTCCACTCCTGCTCACCCAGCTCTTGAGAACAACATCTAGCAGAGTGCCTGGCATATGCTAAGTAAACACTGGGTGAAAATGAATTTTTAAATCTGTGATTCGATTTGATCCGGTAAACAGAGATAAGGTTTAAAAGGCAAAAAGGAAGGGTAAGGCACTTGCCCTTTCATGTGGCCAACCTTCCCCCAACCTTATATGGTCCCCCCAGTCCTGCCAGGAGTAATCCCTGAGCACAGAGCCAGGAGTAAGCCCTGAGCATGACCTGGTGTAGCTCAAAGCCAAAATAAATAAAATACATTTTTTTAAAAATGTAACCCCTCCCCCCCCAAATAAACAACCACCAAAAAAGATCTCAGACCAGTAAAACATCTCCTACCCACTCTTGTGCCCTTTGGTACTTCCTGGAGAAAACCAGTGTTAGCCAAAGAAAATCTGTGAAAGTACAAGTGGATGCTTTTCATTTGTTCCTTTTCTCTGCCCTGCATGTACCAGAACATTAGGTACTTTTCTGCACACATTTTTTCTCCCCCAACAGCAATTTTTTTCTATACATGAAAGGGAATAGATGTTTATCTGCTATGGAACTAAGTTTGGGCTATCAGCTTGGCTTTGTCTCTTATTTCCTTTTTTTTCTTCTTTTTTGGACCACATCTGGCTGCTCAATGGTTACTCCTGGTTTGGGGCTTGGTCACTTTGTGCTTTGGTCACTCCCAGTGGAACTTGGGGGACCATGTGGTGCTGGGGATCAAACCAAGGTCATCTTTCATTCAAGCAAACACCTTAATCCCTGTACTATCTCTCCAACCCCTGGCTTTGTTACTTTTGATCACAAGGTTATTTAAATGAGATGGCGGCTGCCCACAGGACTGGAAAAGTAACTATTTAGCATGTGTTCTCATTGACACAGAACCACGGGTGAGAGCCCCTTTCCTCCTTTGCAAGGTGCAGGGAAGGCGCACAGCTGTGCGGCTCTGGGTGGCACCAGCCTCAGGAGTATTGAGGTGACCCGCCTGTCCCTCCACTGGGGTCTGGCTGCCTTCCCACAGCTCTGCTCTGAAGTTGTTGGCTCTCTGCTTGACCCCCTCCTGCCCAGTGAAATGCAAGTGAACCTGGCTGGTGACGTTGGAGCCTGGCAACTGAGAAATGTGCCCATGGTTTGGGCTTCAGGCTCTCTGGGGACACTTGCTGAACTCCTTGCCACTGCCCCAGGGCACAGCCACTCTGGTCCTAGAGAGAGCCCCGATCTTCTCAAGGGATTTAGGGACATGGACACACTCTGAAGAGTCTCTCCCTTTTGACAGTCTAAAGGGGTCAGTCTGGGCTTCTGCACTGGTGGTCATTTAAGTGTTTACCCCACAGACACATTAGGGGATACAACTGGACACTCACCGCTCCTGCCTTCATGGCATTTGCTGGGTCTGCAGGGTCTGAAATAGATTTAGAACTTAAGGGAGATGCAAAGTAACTGAAAGTGGAATTATGCGTGGATCACTAGAGTAGACGTTCCATTTTATAATTGTTTTGGGTGCTGGTGGGCTCCCAAGATCATGGGTGGTGATGGGTAGGGAGCCCTGTGTGCTGAGGATCCCCTCCCAGGCCTCACACATGCAAGGCATGTGCTCTACCACTTGAACCACATCTCTGTTGTCTTGTATATAGGGATTCTTGGGCCAGAGAGATACACAAAAACAGCTAAGGCTCATGCCTTGCACACAGTCAACCAGGATTCAATCTCTGGCACCCCAGGAGGTTCCCCCAAACTTTTTCAGGAGTAATCCGTGGGTGTAGAGCCAGGAGTAAGCACTCTAGGTGGGCCCCCGGACCCAATAAATTATAGCACAGCGGGTAGGGCGTTCGCCTTACAAGCGGCCAACATGGCCGACCCGAGTTCGATTCCTCCGCCCCTCTCGGAGAGCCTGGCAAGCTACCGAGAGTATTCGATATGCCAGACACAGTAACAACAAAGTCTCCAATGGAGACGTTACTGGGCCCGCTCGAGCAAATCGACGATCAACGGGAGGGCCTTTACCTTTACCTTTTTAATAAATAAGTAGTGTTTCTTCACTTGGCAATCTGAACATTACTTGCATCAGAATTGCCAGTGAAGCTCAACTTGCTGAATGGTTTCAATGTCTTTCTTCCCTGCAGGACTTTAGACTTTTGCTAATTTTGAAACCGATTATCGAGAGATGAATCTCTCCTTAGATAAGTGCCCGCTCCCCTGGAATGTGAGGTTGCCTAAGCAGTATATATGCTTGGGACTTTGAAGTAACTCAATGCCTACATAGATAAAGATGTTGCCACATCTCAAACTCTAGTCTGAGAACTGAAAGGGAGCTCTAATCCACACATATATGACGCATAGCCCTGCTCAGGGAAACGATCCTCAGTACCCAAACCTTGATACCAGAACTCCCAATCTAGCTGATTTGAGGGAGCCTTCACCGGAAGGGCACAGAGGAGAGTAATGCAGCTATGCCTGTGTCCTTGTCCGGTCCTCTTAGACTTGGGTTAGGTCAGCAAGACGGGGACAGGGGACCTCCTGCAGCGTGCTGAGTGCTGTGCCGCCCCCTACTGGGGATGCAGGGAAGTGCCTCCTAGCTGGCCCAGTTTTTTTTCATTGCCCTAGTGATTTAGGAAAATCACAGAATGAAAAAGAAAAACTACTTAACATCCTCCCCCCAACCCTCAAAGGTGAAATAAAGTTTCTTACCCCCTTTCTTTTTTGGCGTGGGCAGACCTGGCTGTTCTCAGGGATTACCCCTGCCTCTGTTCACAGATCATTCCCGGCTGTGCTCAGGGGTCCCTATACAATGGCTGGAATCAAACCTTGGGTTGACTGTACGCTAGGCAGGCACCCCGCTGTACCATCTCTCTGGCCCCTGAAACAGTTTCTTCATCAGAACCTTGGGATGCATGATTCAGTTCTAGAATGTAAGCCTCAGGACTGTATTTATTTTTGAGCCAGGGAGCTACACCCAGAAACAATCTCCAAGCTCCTCTGGAGAGAGGGCGAGGCAGTGGTGGAAGGAGGCCTGGAATTCCCTGTGCCAGGCCCCTGAGTAAAAGAGCTGAGGCCTGGAACAGCCTACTTCTCTCCAAGAATCCTTGCTTACTTGGACCTGGAGCGATAGTACAGCAGGTTAGGGTGTTTGCCTTGTACACGGCCAACCCAGGTTCAATTCCCAGCATCCCATATGGTCCCCTGAGCGCCACCAGGAGAGATTCCTGAGTGCAGAGCCAGGAGTAACCCCTGAGTATCGCTGGGTGTGACCCCCCCCCCCCCAAAAAAAAAGAGAAAAGAATCCTTGCTTGCTTGTCCTATGGTGCCCTGCTGCCTAGAATTATGGTTAGGGTTTAATGAGCAGATCCCACGAGACTTCTCAGCCACTGTTATTATTTGCACCGTCATTACGAAGTCACTAAATAGAACCGGGCAGAAGGGGAAGGCAGATAAGGGACAAAGAGCAAAACCCATGTGCAGCTGCAAGAGTTTGTGCCCTTGGTTTTTCCATCACCCCACAGCTGGCTTGACCCTTGAAGCTGGAGGCTGGGGAGAGCTTGGATCCACTGCACCGCCTGCCTGCGTTTGGTGTGCCCAAGATTTGATTGTTCTGTAGGGGGCGGGTCAGCCGGTGCCCTCTGAATGCTTGTCTATGATGCTCCGTTCCAGTGGCAGTTCTCGCCCTCCTCCCACAGGGAGAGCTCAGAAATAGTGACAGGAAATTAGCTCCTTGAGGTCAGAAATAGTCCCTTCTCTGTGACACCCACCTCTGCTTTGGGAGCTACAGGGCCCTTTACAGAGAGGCTGGTGGGTTGGAGCAGGACTAGGTCTGAGTTCCCTTCCCGCCAGGGCCGGGCTGAGCTAGCTTCATAGAATT